TTATTTGATTTTTCGTGTTTAACAGTTTAGATCATCTTATTTTTATTAATTTTAGCAAAATTTTCTTTTCTAATTACTAAATTTCTGTGTATGTAATTTAAGTAAGTATTTTTTTATTACTATCCAGATTTGTATCGACATTGTCATGAGATGTGTTGAATAACTGATGTATGTTTGTTGACAACTTCTATATGAGGGTGAGTTAATAAGGAGGAGAAGAAAAAAATCATCCGCCTAACACCCGGAAGTTCCCAGGTTCAAATCCTGGCAGGCACAGAATTTCATTTTATGTCATGAAAGATGTCGAGTCGAACGTATAGAATTACGTGAAAGAAACGAAACTTCAATCAGGGGTATTAAATAATGTTCTTGGAGTTGTAAATTGTCAAACCTAATTTGAGTATCGTAGAAAACAAGATTATTATTCTTTTGTATTTTTCATGGTTTTAATTTCCTCTGAGTTTTTTGACTAATTTTGACACATACAAAAAGACACTATGCTTATACATTCATCAATTTTATATATTGAAATAAAAACTACATGCGAAAGCCATTAACTGAACAAGAAATAAGAGAGAAAAAAAAACACGTGTCAGACAGCTGAATGCGCTAACCCCTAAGAAAATAATTCCTTTGTGCCTGCCAGGGCTTGAACCTTGGACCTTCCGCGTGTTAGGCGGATGTGATAGCCACTACACCACAAGCACTTATTTTTAATTTTTGTCTAATTGTGATAATTTCATAATGTATACAAAGTAACTTTTGAAACTTTCAACTTATGTAATGCATTTGAAAGCCTTATAGTAGTGTAAAAAAAAAACTTTGCCTATCAAGAATAGATCTTGGTATATGTTTGTTGTACAACAAATACAATAGTCATTACTCCTTCAACTTTTTTTACAACTTAAGGATTACCTATCATTATTGTAAGCTTAGGGGTTAATGCTTAGTGACTAGGTCTGTAAATATAACACAAGAATATCGACTTACCTCTATTTAAAAATACTAATTCCAATAAAATCCCTATTCGTTTTACTGCAACCTAAGATACAAGTGTCTGATGCATCTTTCTCCACTGCTCGTCAAGTTTTAATTATGAAAAAGAAATCGGGTCGAAATTACAATATAACAATATATATAAAATTACGTCTGGGTAAATGGTAGAGCTCCATTTGGTGGCGAACTTGATTACCAACCCGCCTGGGCTTTCTATAGCTGAAGAGCAGTTCTCAGTTACATCTATATATATACACATATACAAGAACAAAAATCTGTATCTGTTTGTTTGTCCTTTATCTAATTACTTCTACTCACTGGGCCAATCTCAACCAAACTTTGTGGGGTGATAGTTTGGAACAATGGACATGTTAATGCTTCACAACCCCCTCCACACCCATTATTCCTGTCATTTAGCATTTGTTACCTTTATAGTAAGTTAACGTTAACTACATTCTTAGATGACGTCACGTCCTTACACAGAAAGAAAAAAAGAATATTAAACATACTATAAGGCAACATACACACTAGAGGGGAGGTCACACAATTGTATATATCTGAAAGATTTGGCGAGCACTCTCTATGAAACAATGCAGTGAGAAAAAAATAGCCACTATTGCAATACTACATAAATTCAGCTGAAGTTTCTACTCCAATAAACACCATAAAGCTGGTATGAAGAGTCGTTTCTTGAGTTATACCAACTTCCTACTTTGATCAGTGACCTTTCAATTGCTGCCAATGACCATCTATTAATTAATCTCGTGAAACAACGTGGAAGGACATTAAGAGTTAGGTGTTGAAAGCGCCTAGGAGAAAGCACCACACCACGACTAATTTCGCCGTTACCTCTTCCTACAAAGTCATTATTGCCATCGCACTGTAATTACGATGTTTTAAGTATTGTAACGAATTTGTTATTATATATTTCTTTTAATATAAACGTTTATTTAGATTAGATTTGTGTTTTAAAACATGCATAGCTTATAGTGATAAATATTTATTACG